TAACCACGGTCCAAATACTAAATGGAAAACTCCAGAAATAGACAATCCATAAATTTTAAATAGCGCCCCGGTCTGAATAGCACGATGAAATGGGCCATCGTGCCTGGGGTGTGAGTCATCCAGTTGTCCCGTGCGTCTGCCCACTCGTCACTTAGCAGCACCTGGGTTGTCAGACGGACTATGCAGTGTCGCACGGCTTATGTTCCGGTCACCCTTGTTTTAATTAAAGATGCCACAGCGGGCCCTGCCTGGTGTGGCTCAGTTGGTTGGCGCATCGTGCTGTGGTCGAAAGGTTGGGGGTTCAGTTCCCCATCAAGGCACACTCCTGGGTTGCGGGTTCGATCCCTGGTCTGGGCACATATGGGAGGCAACCAATGGATGTTTCTCTGTCTCTCTCAAATCAATAAACATATCCCTCAGGTGAAGAAAATATAGGCCACAATCATGTAACTGTTTTTATAGTGCATTGTTACTATTGTTCTATTTTTATCGTTATTTTTGTTAATCCCTTCCTATGACTAATTTATAAAGTTAACTTTTTAAGAGAAAAAAACAGTATATACAGGTGAGGACAAAGGGGGTTAACAGTTGCATTGGGACATTCTTTTGAGTTAGTAAAGCTATTGTAATAAAATCATAACCTGTGCGTCTCTTTCCATACAAACGACGGTAAACCTCCTTTTGCCCACCCCTGTGTAGGGTTAGGGACCACCGGAGGTTTCAGGCAGCCCCTGGGGGTCAGGGAACATATGCCCCACAGTCGGCGAAGCTACTGTACCCTGCATGGTGAACTCCTCGCTGGACCAGGTGTCTGCAGGGCCTCGAGGGCCCACGGGGCGGGACCCCAGGTTTTAACTCCTTAGGCAACGTTCACGTTTTCCACCATTGCTCTCTGAGCTCTACCTTTGTGCCAGGTGAGGCCATCCCAGCCTCAGTGTGGCCCCGCCCACCTCTGACTCACGAACCCCTGGGCCGTGGTGAGCATCCAGCGTCATCATCTGGGGCCCCCGCTTCGGCCAGGGCACCGTTATCCCTGGACACAGTGTCCATGCCTGAGCCACACCGTATGCTGAGACCTTGTTGGTGGGACAAGTCTGTCCCAGTCCCATAGGTCTCCCCAGCTTCCAGACTCCAGACAAAGTCCTCAGATGTTGTCCCCTTCCCTCCCAGGAGCCTTCTTTTGCCCTGTGCACATTGTTCCACTGGTACTGGGGTGACAAGGTCTCCAGGAGAAGGAGCAGCCCTCTGGAGTCGCAGAAGGTTCTAGCTCCTTACCCTGGCGATGTGTTCACTGGCAGGGTGAACACAGAAAACACCAGCACACCAGGGGAAATCACACCGGCCATTTCCTGGAGACACAGTGAACAACCACTTTGAGGTGGCCTTCTCTTCTGCCTGTTCCCTGAAATGGTTAGAAAAAACAGTGAAGCTCAGCTTCAAGGGGTCTTCCTGTTGTCCTGGTCCTAGAAGTAGCCAGACAACTGGTGTAAAGAGTCGTCATCCACACCACCTCCAGCTGAGCGGGAAATCTGCTCAGGTCTTAAAGGATTATACAGCTAAACACGCACTTCTTGTCTTGGTTCCTCCTCTCATCGGAGCCTCACGTTCGTTATGAAAAGTAGGCAGGGCATGTTTCTTCCTCATTTAAGCTGAGATTTAATGGACCATCCAAGGCCACAGAGCGAGAGAGTGGGGTCTGGGCAAGTCTAGAATGTACACTTGCCTTACGGAAGGAGTAGCTATTCCAAACATAAGAAAGCCAAGGTCTTGACCTTGAGTCGCTTATAATCTAACTTGGGTTTTCCACTTCTCTGGGCTCTGGCGTGTCGGAGGATTCTCCCGTGTGAACGTGGCCTGGGTTGGATTGAAGTCCAGTGGTAGCTTCTCAGCATCTTCTTTGGTAACACCCCAGAGCTCAGCCAGCTGTCCTCAGGCCGGGGGGGAGGCGGAGAGGGGAGGCTCTCCCAGTGTTTAGGCTGTTTAGCACAACCCCGATTCCATGGGGGGCTCCTCTGGTCAGTTCTCAGAGCAGCAGAGGGGTCAGGCCACGGTTCAAGGCCCCGGGGAGCGCTGTGGGCTTGGACTCTGGGCAGAAAGTTCACGTCACATGAACAGCACCTCAACGAGGTAATCCGCCCTCACAGGGGCCGAGAGGGCTGAGGGACACTCAGCCAAGGGAAAGGCACCATTTGGGCTATAAACACTTAGAGGTACATAGATATGCAAAGTGCGGATAGTACACATTTCATTGTGAAAAGAAACATGAGAACCAGAAATCCTTCCTGTGCCTCCTGGCCTGAAATTCTAGATGAAGCCATTCGAAGTGGACTCTTAGATCGCGGGAGCCCTTGACCAGTCCCTCCTCCTCCGCCGCCTTGTCCCTTTCCCCCACCTGCCACCTCTCCTTTTCCTTCCCGCCCCCTCCTCCTCCTCTCACCCCTCTTCCGTCCGCCTGTTTCCCTTGGAGTTCCAACCCCGCTCTCAGATACGTGTGCGTGGCACCCGCCCCAAATACAAGAAGACAGACATTTCAGGAGACTGCCACCTGCCGCTTCCCCCTGGACCATTGAGCAGATATCTGGTCCCCAAATAAAAAGTGGCTCTTACTGCACAGCTGGAAAGGGGCAGCACCCCAACGTGTGAGCAAGGTGTTCTAGGGCGCAGAGAGCATGCACTCCCTGCACCTCTGGGCACCCAGGGCCTGGGAGTACTGGGAGGGGGCAGCAGAGGAGGTGACAGGTGCCCTCTGTCCGCCCGGCAAGGCTCAGCAAAATGAGCAGGAGAGCCAGCACCAGGCATTCCAGGGAGCGGCCTGCCCAGGAGAAAGCAGCATTTCCTTCCCACTGTCGGGCGGGGGGGGGGGGGGGGAGGGGCAGGATAAAGGGCATGTTGTCCAAGCGTGGGCTGTCCTTTAAGCAGGGAGGATTCCGGTGGGAACAAAGCAGGCAGGCGCTGTCCCCACGATGCCCACCGCCCCGCGGGGCTCCTCCTGAGCAGCAAGCCTCCTGTAAGAAGACACCTGTATTATGTCCTACTTAACAGTGATAAGAAAATGACACAGAAAGTTCTTTTGGGTGTAAGTGATGCCTTGTCCTGGGCAACATGGGCACCGTGGGGTTTGGTGACCTTCTGCAAATACCATTGAGTCCTGTGGTCTAGTTTGTCAACCTTTTCCGAATTAGAGGAGTTTAATCTGCCATGGAAATGGGGCCAGTGAAAACGCAGTCAACCGAAAAGGCTCAGGCCTTCATCTAAACTCAATTAAAAAGTCATCCCGCAGCGCGTCGCATGCCTGGTGCGTGCCTGGCCGTAGGCTCTTGGTTTATTTTATTCTCTTCGTGTCCACGCGGGTCCCGGGAGGTCAGTGTGGATGTGCTCATGTGTCACGTGGGAAGCGGCTGTCGCAGGGGGTGATGTCACTTGCCCAGGAAGGCACGTGATTGGGCTGTCGTGCTGGCTGGTCCTCCTCATGCTGCTCCGGCCTTCCGTCCTCTGCCACGGGGTCGCTCTGGCTGACAGATGAACTAGACCTTGGCAGTGAGAAAAGGCTGGGGCAGTGAACACGAAACAGAGAGGCAGTTGCACGCAAGGCTCGTGGCTGCCTGAAGGCCACGTCACCCTGAATCCAACAGGTCCGAACGGTCTGTGTTAGGCCAGTCACTTCATGTCCTTTGTGATGAAGTCCCATTTAGAGCAGCTATATCCGAGCAGCCTTGGAAATGACCTGGGATTTTACATGTTTCTGCTTCCTACTCTGCAGCAACAAGGCTGGCGTTGGTTTAGATGTCATTGTGCCCTGGGAGGTGACAGGGACGTTTTGTCCTCGTTTCCAAGGGACTCCAAGCTGCCTGGGAACAGTACACAGGGTACCTGAGCAGTTTTCCTTAGCCATTTGCACTGCCGTTGCTCATTTCCTTGGCTTCTTTGTAACCATGCTATTTCATCTTTCAGTCGTGCTTTATAGAGTACAAGCCTTCTGCTAGCAATGGGTGCCTTTCCTTTTACTTTAGTTGTATCTATTTGAGTCTGTTTTTTCAGGTGTTAAGTAGATACGTGTGAGGATGAACCCACACGGGGCCTTATTGCGCAGCAAATAGCAGGATACCTGCCTTTTCTCAGAGCCTGGGTCTTTCCATTTGCAGTCAAACTTATCCCGGCCACTTCCTGTGAGGATTAAGGACAGAAGCGCCTTCCAAAGTGTTGAGGAAGCTGTAAAATGCAAGTAGGCGGTCGCTGTTATTAGAAGGTACTCACTGCCTGATGTAAATAGGAGCGTTGATTATTTTAGGATGGTTCTCTATTTTTCTGACTGTGCAGTATACGTGTTAGGTGATTTGAAGGCATTTGCCCTTTGCTCTCCCTGATGACCCTGGTCAGAGGTTAAGGTCTCCTCCGCTCGCCAGTTAGATGTGCCGTCCGGAAGTTCAGTCTAACTTTGGAACGGCCTCGCGGGATTCAGGTAGATCTGGGACCCATTGGAGGCCATGGAGATGGACACGTTCCCTAAAAAAATACCTAATAAAATTAGAATGAGCACATTTACCTCAAACTCAAGACAGAGTGCTCTTTGTATTGTGCAAATGCCACTTCCAGGAGAGGGTGACTCGGGGGGCCCTAAGACGTCCTTGAAGATGAAGGGCAGTTTCTGTCCTCAGCTCCCTGTTCTCCTCATTGTTTCTGGGGGAGGAGGTCATGGAGGGCTTCATGGAGGAGGGGACATGTCAGCAGAAAAGGAACTTAGCATGGATGAGGGCGTAACAAGTGATTTGGCTAAGGTCACGTGGCTTGTAAGGGATTGAACCAGGTTCTCTGAGATGCCAGCCCCTTCAATGAACAGAAATCTTTATGTGATGGGGTCTCATTCCTCTGTGGCTTTAATCTTTGGGCATGGAATGTGGTTTGGGGCCATTGCTTTCCTTGAGCTGGACAGACACCCAAGGAGGCTGCAGGTCCTTGAGGGTCCTGGAGTTCACGGGCGCCCTTGGATTCTTGTCTTGCAGACGGCAGCAGCCTGCATGCGGCGGCCTGTGTCCATGAGAGCACCATGCACAGCCGGGTCTTCCAGATCTTGTACAGGAACGAGGAGGTGCCCATAAGCGACCTCGCCATCTTCCGTGCTCACCTGCTCCTGGATGGTGAACGGGTGAGTCGTGGGACCCACTGCAGCCACGAGCTGTCTTCTCCCTGAGTCTTTTGTCTCCACCACGGCGGGGAATGGTCACGGAAGCTATAGATTTGCTGTGAAATCGGACTGATGAGGAGTCGTGACTGTAGGACATGCCTACCTTTCTCATTTCCTGTTGCAGGAAATTTCCATTGAGTAACTTGCTGACTTTCTTACTCACTTTCCCTTTGCTCCTTTGTTCATCGGTCTGGGCCCACTGTCCATGAGCCAGTCAGGGCTGTCTGTGCGCACCTGCTTTGTGCACGGTGCGGGGGCCAGCCTTTGGGTCGGGGGGGGGATCCTGAAGGAGGCAGCGAGTAGGCCCTCTGCCCTTGAGGCATCGATAGCGACCAGGAAAGCAGAGTTTCAATGCGCACCAGATCGATGATGCCCCCTGTGCTAGCTGTGTGGACAGAGCAGCAGGCGCGCTCCGAGGATGGACAAGTGGGCTCCGGGAGGGGTCAGCGGTTCCTCACAGGAGCCGGCTTTGAGGAGCACGTGCTAGAAGTTCGTCAGACTGAGAGAGAGGGGAAAGGCAGCTCAGCCGGGGGAGCGGCATGAGTAAAAGCCCAGCGGCCCGGGAGCCTCGTTCCGTTTGCCGGAAGCCTGACCACAGAGGCCTCGTCCATCAGATTAACGCCCGCTCATGGAAGGAACGTGTGAGGTCGAGACCCCTGCTGCCACGCCCCCGTCCCGCCTCCTCTCCCGGTAGTCACGGTAGTCACGTTCCAGCGGCATAGCTCCTGCAGGGCCTTTCTGTAATGAGGTGGAAGTGTGCTCCTAGCCGGGGACACCTAGCAATAAGCATGCCCCCTAGTCACCGTCCCCAAGTGGTGGGCAGACGGACTCCTCCTGGCCCTCCGAATCCTCCGCTCATCCCCTTGGCTTTTTAATCCCCATCTTTTGTGGCCTAGGCAGTGACCGCGTGCCCCAGTGCGGCTGGAGATAAGATGCTCTCACTCATTCTTCCTTCATTAATGCTTCCTTCCGTCAGAGATTTATTGAACACCCATTAAGCACACCTACGATGGGTTAAAGATAAAATAGCAAACAAGGAAATACCCCTGTTGGCTCGGGGCTTACATGTTAATGTTAGATCAATACATCACAGTGTAATCAGATAAATAAATCATGGACCGCCCGTCCCTGGGCCTTCCCACGGCTGTGCGCTCCGCTCAGCTTGCGCGTCGATGAGATAAACTGACAGGGGCGTGACGAGGAGGGGTTTGTTGGCGGCCCCGTGGGGAGGCTTCCTGGCCGGCCCACTCTGCGGGGCCTGCCGCAGCCCGTGGTAGATGCTCCATAACAAGACTGCCCGGCGGTCTTCAGCCCAGCTCCACGGGGATGGAGACTGTTCCCCGGGGGACAAGTGACAGACAGGAGAGGCCTCCTGAGAGGCCACCGACGAGTGGAGACCCAGGGCTGGGGAGGAGTCTGGTGTGCCAAGAGCCCAGGGGGAGGGCCTCCCCGGAGGGGGCTCGGCAGGGACAGAGCCTGGAGGTGGGAGGAGGTGGGGGGGGGGGTCCCAGGACAAGCAATGGGGCCCAGGCGACCTGCCCGGTGGGCGCGGGGAACAGAGCGGGAGATGAGGCTGGAGAGGCAGGGGGGCCGGAGGCGCGGGTGAGCTCTGAAGGCCATGGGAGGGGTGCAGAGCACGTTCTCCGGCACCGGAAAGCCAGCAATTTTGTCGCAAAGGTGCAGTGGCACGATTTTTATTTTGGAGTGTGGCCGCCCTCCTGCCCGTTCAGTAGCTTGTCAGAGCCGGAGCCGCCTGACTCTTTGCTTCCCCACAGCCCGCCATGGGCCTGCACCGGGGAGGCTCAGCAAATGCCGAGCGGATGGCTTAGCTGGAAAAGTGAAATAATTGAATTTGGAGTCCCCTTCTTTGGGGGGCCTTTGTACGCTGCTCATTGCAAACAGAAAGTGCTCCCCCAGGTCTCTGATCCCTGTCCGCCTCACGCCGTCACGGTGACCACGGGCACCTGGTCTGCAGTGGAAATCAAAAGTCCAGAACGAACCCCTGTTGGCTGTGCCCCCTGCCTTCTCACCGCTCTCTGCCTCCCCTGTGTACCTCGCCACCTGGTTCGGACCCTGGAGGCTGCCTGCCCGCACCGATCAGCAGGGTCCTTACCTTTTGGTCCTGTTTGGGCTCAGCCCATGAGAGGTGCTGCAGGTGATTGGAGGAAGAGAGGAGAACGGGGCCAGGGTATCCCCTCCTGGGCTCCGCAAGTGCTGGGTCATCGACGGCTCTGTGTCCAGCGGTGTGCTGAGGCCAGCGGACAGCACAGGGCCTCAGCAGATACACATCTCTTTCCAACTCCACGTTTACTGACTTTGCACCAGTAGCTGGAAGCCAATTGCAGTGGAAGTGCTGACACCCCAGGAATGGGCAGGGCTACAAATCAGGGTTTCCCTCGCTCCCCAGAGAGGTGGGTGTCCAGGGTTCACTGGCCCACTGCTGTCTGCGTCCTCCTACCAGAGGCTTCGCGGGGGGCGGGGCCGCGCCACGTAGCTCTCTCTCCAGCTCTGGCCACCACTCCTTCTGCCTGACCTCTCTGGCCCAGGGTGGAGAGGGTTTGTAAATCCCCCCTTGAGTAAACTGTACTTGGAGTCCTGGGCTTGAGTGTCATCTGTTTCCTTCCCTGGCCCTCCTTGACTCCCCTCGGTTAGGAAAAGACGCCCTGGCGTTGAGTGGTAAGGTGCTCCCTGTTTGGGCGCATGCTCAAGCGCAGGCGCCCTGAACTGTAGTGAAACTGGCACTTTCTCGCTAAGGGGCCACTGTCATTGGCCTCAAAGAGCAGAATGGCTGTCCCTGGAGGCTGGGTGGGAGCCTCCCTCAGGCGCCTTGGCCTTTATTCCATCTGGAGTCCTTCACAGTCTTGCTCCTTCCCCAACAGGATAAAGCCTTTCCTAGTTTAATCTTCCCAACAGGCAGGCTCAGCTTACGCCCGGCTGTCACAAGCCTGCGGTCTGAGGCTGACCAGGGTGTCGACTGGACAGCATGTAGTTTTCTTCTGCGGATTAACTCACGTGTCTCTACAAGCTAACAGTTTATTCCTGTGTTTGGGGTAATCTGTACGGCAGTGAGGTTATAGTTAATCATTATATACAAATCAGAGACAGTGAACGTTAATTGGGTATGCCCATAAAACTGTCTGGAATGGATCCATTAGCTCTTACCCAGTGAATATCTGTCTGCTTTTAATATCCAAAATACTGCTTATCACCAGATGGCCAGAGTTCACGGTCACACGTGTACACAGCCATCATGGTGGACAGACCTTTAGGCACCATCCATGCGTCAAGCACACTGTTCCACATGCTATAGGAAATGCAGCCGTGGAGATTCACTCAACACAGTGAGGGCACAAGTAAGTTAATGCAAGCGGTGACCGGGGGCAGAACCAATCAAAGCCTAAGGCATAAGATGGGATGTTTTAACGATGGTCGCAAGGCACAGGAGTGTGGAGGTAGGATGGGTATTTTAGGTTAAACACTCCGTGTAATGCCCCAGAAGATTTGGGAAAGCTCAAAGAATACCTAGACTAGTAAAAAGAAATAAAATAGCAATCGAATGAGCCAGGGTACAGGAAAACAGAAAAAGGAGAAGAGCCCAGGGTTGATGTAGCAGGAAAACGAAGAGCGCTGGGCGTTTGCGCGCACGACCCACACACGAGGTGCTGAGCATCCCGGCAGCCAAGATGAAGAGGATACAGTTAGTAACCAGATGCTTTCAAGGAGGAGGAGGGACAGATTGCATCTCACGTGGTGGGCTTTGGAGAGAGGCTTTACCACACCCAGCCTCAATGTCCTTGTTTGAAAATGGAGACAATACTTCTTAATTCATAGTTTTATTATCCATGTTAAATAAGACAGTGGGAGCTCCATGCCTGCTACATAGAGAGTCTTCTCTAAGTACTAGCTACTGTTGTTTTCACGACTATATGCAAAACTGCTTCCTGATGCTTAAAAAACAACAACCAAAAAAACGACCCTTTACGTGAGGTGATGTCTTGAACCAAGATACGGCAGCATGGTTCAAGGCTCTATGTATGAGTGCATGTGAATGTGTGCACATGTGTGTATGTGCGAGCATGTGTGTTTGGAGGGTGGGGCAGGAAGCCAACAGCCAACTATGAAATGAGTGGTTAGAGAAGCCGGCGACTTCGTTCTGGAGCTCCTTGAGATGAAATATTGTTTGAGGCCTCGGCGACGTCGTAACTGGGCCCCATGGACGTGTCTCCCGGTGCTGGAGAAGTGGCGGGCGAGCGGCGGCGGCCAGCAGGGAGCTGGAGCGCACAGCGAGTTAGGCTCAGCAGGCGAACGCGCTGCGCGGGGGCGGGGAGGACGCGCTTGGCCAGGCCCCCTCCCCAGGCCGTGGCGGCGGCAGGACATCGTGTTGCTTGGACTGTGTGTACAGAGTGCGGTTCCTGATTATGCAAAACAAAGCGAGGAGCCGAAGTTATTCACGGCCCTTTGGATCCGGCAAAATGTTAACTTTTAAGTGCTTTTTTTTTAATAATGAATTTTAAAACACCAGGGACCTAAAGATAAATCCCATCCATATGTCTCTGCCTGCGTTATGCTTAACCAGGAGCTTATTTCCAAAGAGGCCTTTAGGTGAGAGATTTCCTTCCCTGTGGATGAGAACATTCTGGCAAAGAAACAAACTCAAGAGGGGTGGGAGTGGAGAAGAGCTTTATTTATTCCTCAAGATACATTAATATTTTCTGTGTGGCAGGCTCTGTTCCCGGAGCTGGGGACCCAGGAGGAATGAAGATGAGTCTCTCCCTTAGTGATCCCAGCTGACTGGGGACACTGGGCCAAAGCAGCGGCCGGGGCGCGGGGCGGTTTAGCCGCAGTCTGAGCGGGCATTGTCAGTGGCCCAACAGCAGCAAGACCCACCAGGAGCTTCCCAGCGTGTGGCCAGGTCTAGGGGCTCCTCCTCCCCCTCCTCCTTTTGCCCCATAAACTGAAACCTGTGATAGAAATGTGAAATAGCTTGATTTTTAAACGTATGTAACTTGATAAGGACTAAAAATCATGTGTCTCCAGGTGAAATTGGGCTCACGGGTCATAAACCAGAAACAAACAAATTTAACCGGAAGCTCTGAATGCGAAGAAGATGGAAGGTGGAAACAGAACAGCGTCCTGCGTGTTGCAGGGGAGAAGGGCTCCGCCCCGCCTGGAGCAGGGTGGGGGGGGGGTAGAGACAGGACACAGCCCTGACCTGGGTTTCCCTGCTGAGCTGGGGCAGCTTTGGGGTCTGGTATTTAGCAAACGGCCCCCTTTGGGGAGGGGGGTTGATGCTGTTTCCTGTGGGGGCGGGGTAGCATCTTTTAAATGTAAGTGAGACTCTGGCAGGCACTACAGGCAGATCGATTCCTGTGCTAATTAATGAAAACAGATGTTTTTGAAAGCTAAAAATCGATGCAGCCCCAGATAGGACATAAAGTGTCTTAAAGAATAAACGGTGACATGGAACGGCTCTCCAAACAAAGGACGGGCTTCCTCAGGACCCTGAGCCGCCTTGGGAGGTGACTTGCGTTTCCTGAGCATCCGCGTCTCTGTGCCCCTGGACGGCCATGGCCACCAGGCGAGGGTGCCGGCCGGAGGGCAGAGGGACCACACACCTCTGAGGTTGCCACCGTCGCTAACCAAGGGGTCCGCTGTCCCCACGCAGGGGCTGTGCTAGAACACAGGTCAGATCTGCCTGCGGAGGGAGGCTCTCAAAAGCCCTGCAACGTAGAAAAGTGGTTTCATTAGCTTCTTTTTTTTTTGCAAGTTGGATTTTCCCCTAATTTGACTACCTCAGCCCCTCCTGTTTTCCGTGTAATACTCTCAGACACGCCGTTCAATCAGAATCCCACGGAGCATGCGCGGCAGTTCCGCTGTAATCATAAATCATTGCCTTTGTGGCGAGATTCCCTTTCTGAACTTGGGGAAAGAGACCGGCTGAATTTTTCACATGGGCCAGGCTTGGCCGCCGAATTCCCTTGAACTTCTTTCTCTCGTAGGTGGAAGAGGCGCTCAGTGAAGTCGACTTTCAGCTCAAGGTGGACCTGCACTTTACCGACAGTGAACAACAGTGAGTGTCCTCGAAACCCCTGAACTGTGGTATAGCGCGCCCCGCCCCCCGCCCCCCTAGGCCCTTCCCCACCCCTGGGGCATCCTCGTGGCCGTGAGCCTCAGAATGTCCTCAGAAATGTGCTGATCGCTGCTGTGCCCCTTCCACACCCATGGCTTCCCCAGGGGCGTGGGCTCAGCTCGCCTGGCGTCCCCCCGAACCCTGCGCTATAGGCACCGAGCCCTCCCGGCTTCCTGGCGTTCCGGCTTTAGGGACGGTGCCTTCCGCTGCCTGGCCCCGCCGTCCATTTTCAGTGCGGCATTCATTAGGATTTTAGATTCCTACCTCCTCCACTCAGAGGTGGCAGACCTCAGGGCCCCTTCTGAATCAGAGGAGGTTCTGCCAGGGTCCCACAACTTGGCACGAATATCTGCTCTTAGTTTCCGGCTGCCTGATCCTGAAAACCATTCCTTGTGTAACAGGCGGGCTGTGTAAGACAGAGGCGATGCTCCTCTTTCTCAGAACTGCTTCCTCTAAGCTTCTGCGGCCTCCTCCTCCCGCCCGGGGTCAACGGAGCCTCTCCAGGATTTTGGGGGTGTAACAAATAAACAGTTCTTATTTTCAGGCGTTGGGAAATCTGGTCGAGTGTACGACCAGATCTCTAAACTCTCACCCGGGTCAGAGCTTCTATTCATTGTCATTGTCCCCTTGCCTGGCCCGCCCAGCCCCAGGCTTTGTCAGAGGAGGGGGTTCCCAGGGCAGCAGCGAGGCCACGTGTCCTTCCTCCCTCCCCACCAGGGAGTGCGGGCCTTGCCGGCCAGGCACAGCGAGGACGGGGACGTTGCAGGGGCACAGAGGCCGAGCAGACAGGTTCACTTGTGAACAGGCTCCCCGTAAGCTGCATAGGGAACCGCCGTGTCCTCCGTTCTTGGCCGCCCCTCGGAGGTGGCACCCTGAGGCCGCCTCCATACAGCAAGGCCTCCCATGGTTGGCTCCTTCACTCCTCGCAGGAAGCTCTTTCAGAAGGTGCTTCTCAAAAGAACCCACATCTGGCCCCTGGGAGGCGAACCTGGACACTTGAACCCTCGCCCCGTGCTGGACGGGGCCCGTCCCCTGCCACGCGGCCCGGTCTTCCTTTGGCCGATGCAACCGCCACCCTCAGCGTCTCTCCAGAGGACGTTTGCAGGCTCAGTCAGGCACCCGGGCCCGAGGTCCCCATTTCTAGGGGTCGCAGGGCGAGCTCGCCTGATGACCCCTCTCTTTAGGCTTCAGGTGACGGGAGGGGACACCCCTTTTCCCTCGGTTCTGTTGGCAGAATCGCAGTACACTCTGGACACTTTGTGGATGAGCCCTCACTTCTGGGCTCTACAACATCACTGACAATCCGTCACCTCATCGCTCGGGGGATGGGGAATCGGGTGGCCCAGCCGCTCCGGCCGCCTGTTTTCTCAGCACTCTGTTTGCCCCTTGGTGGCCGGGGGATGCCTGAGAAACCTCGCCTCCCCCCGCCGTCCCCTGGAGTTGTTGTTCTAGCACCAGGTGGAGCGCAGAGGCCCTTCAAGACGGTGGCCTTGCATATAAGTTCAGAAGCATTGTTCTCATGTTCCTACTCAGCCCTCCAGGGTTCCTACTGCCTCCTTATTTCATCAGCCCTCCCCTGCCCTACCGTCTGCCCGCTTCCTTCAGAGATACCCATAGCTCCATGGGGACGTTCCCAGTGACCTCAGGACCCTGCCGCTGACTCCAAACTCGGCCTAGAAGGCCCGCCCCACCCAGCCCTCCAGGCCGCCTTAGTGCCACGTCGTGGTGGAGACAGGAAACAGGCCTCCGTGCCCTGGAAACGGTAGTTACTGGAGAGCTTACGTACTGGGGATGGACCCAAACACAATGGATCACGTTCGGCCACCTGGGCTCTGCGCTCATAAGCCCTGAGCCACGGGCGAGTCCCTGTCCTTCCCTAAATCTCAGTGGCCTCCTTTACAAAGTGGGCGTCACTGTAGAGCCCGCACGTCCCAGGCCTGCTGTGACGATGAAGGGAGGCTGCGCCTGTGCCAGCTCAAGTGGGGTGTTCGCCCTCTCCGTGGCCGGCGCGTGGCACCGCCTCCCTGCAACACGAAGCACTGAGTGACAACCAGAGCAGGCTTCCCGCGGAGCAGCAGACGAGCTGAGAGGAACAGGAAGACAGAGGCTGTGGAAGAAGCGAAGCTGCCATACTTTTTCATAAATCGGGTTTAAGGATGATAAGGCGCCTGCAGCTCATCCCGGGCGTAGACGTTAGGCTTTGGAATGTCACCCAGGCAGATGGCTTCTGCAGAGCGGTGCAGGTCTGTGTGAGGACAACACAGAGGAGGGGGCATGTGGGTGTTGTGGGCGGAGGGGCGGCGATGAGTCGGAGCCCTGGGGACGCATCTCCAAGTCCGCGGCCACTTCGGGCTGTCACACTGGTGGGATGCGCAGTCTAGGGGTGCTGCTAAATGCCCCGCAGTGCGCAGGACAGCGACACCCCCCCGCCAGCAAAGCATCGTTCAGCCCCCAAAGTGAATGGCGCAGGAGACGAGAGACCCTGCTCTCGTCTAACCCCACACAGTGCCGGCCGCTCTGCAAAGGCCTAGGGGCATGGCTGGCACAGGGGTGGGGAGCCCACCCCCCTCCTGAAGCCCCCCCCCCCCAGATAGGCCTGCCAGCAGGGACTCCTCCTTGCTTTCAAGGAACACGTCATATCGTTGTGCCTTGGGTGTCTAGAGGTCAGTTCACATCCACAAGACTTCAGCCGTCTTTCTCTCCGTTGGAGCAGCTTTCTCTGTGTTGTGTGATCTTGTTTCATGTTTTAGCTGCTCTGTAAGAACCCAGGTATTCTGCTCCCAATGTCTCAAGTTTCTCTCCATCTCTTCTAAGCTGAGACCCCCCCACCCCGCCTCCAAGAACTGAGTTTGTCTCCACTCATTGCTCTGTCCCTTACAGAGCACACAAGACCTATCCCCTCCCTGTTTCTGATTTCTTTACTCCTAGGAATGTCGTTTAAAGTCTTGTTCACGCCCTTGCATCGCTGCTACCCTGACGTCTGTTTCCCTTCCTGGTGTTCGAGCCCTAAGGACGGTCTGTGACTCCCCCCGCCCCCCCGCCCCGCCTATGTCTGAAGGGCCCCACAGAAGGGCGTGCAGGGACACAGAACAGACCGCAGAGGCCCTGGGCGAGGGCCTGGCATTTCAGCTTTGCCTCGGGACTCGGAACAAGTCAGTCCTCTCGTGTTGGCTTCACGTCCTCCCCTGTCAGTGGGGTGACAATACGCTTCGGCGCCTCGTGTGACTGTTCCACAGACCGAGGGAAAAGCGCTGTATGCAGTTCACCGCAAGGCCTCCATACACGGCTCTCAGGATGAAAGTGGCTCTCAGTGTTAACAGCTCTCTGAGAATTGGGGGCACCCGGTTCGCCCCCTCCCCGTCGGGTTTCTTCCTGGGAAGAGGAGGCCATTACTTGTGACCTATTGGTGGGGTCGTGCAGTCTCCAGAGATTTAGTTGGCCCTGTCATTGGCCGGCTCTAAGCAACCAGATTTCCAGAGGCCAGGCTGCGGGGCGCGGTCTAGGCTGCCCGCCCCCTCCCCTCTCTGTCGCACGGCCTCGTCTGTGGAGGGAGAAGAGACTTGTCCTCTGATACCCTCTGATCTCTCTGTTCCGCCAATGGGAGACCCCCCTCCGGGTTTCCCAAGGGCTCTGGCTCAGAGAAGCGTGGAGAGCCTGGGGCACTGGTCCCCAGAGCTGAGATGAGCACTGGGTGGCTTTATTTAGCGAAAACTCAATCCCATTTTTATAACCAAAGACAGCTGGGCCTTGTCTACTGTTGGTTTATCTCTTAGGAATCAGACTCATCCAATTACAAAATGTACAGGAAGGAGGGGAGCGCTTGACGAAACCGCCAGACTATTTAACGCGGGTGCTGGGAGCCGGTCAGTCCGTTCTTTCTGGTTTCCCTTTTTAAAAATGCTTTTGTCGACTGCAGTTTACATTCAGTGTCCGTCCGTGTTAGTTTCGGGTGCCCGGCCTCGTGGGTGGACAACCAAGCACTTGGCAGACTGGCCCCCGCCATGGTCCCGGCGCCCACCCGGCCCCAGCCCCAGTCATCACGCGGTCCCTGGCTCCGCGCCCTGTGCTGCACTTTGCATCCCATGACTATTTTGTAATTACCCGTGGGCCCCCCTTAGTCCCTTCACCTTTGTCACCCAGGCCCCAACCCCTCCCCTCTGGCAACCATCCGGCTCCGTATCTATGAGTCGGTTTCTATTTTGTTTGTTCATTTGTGTTGTTTTTCAGAGTCCGTGTGTAAGTGAACGCGTACAGTGTCTGCCTTTCTCTGAGTGACTTACTCCACTTAGCGCAATACCCTCTAGGTCCATCCATGCTGTCCCAGAGGGTACGATTCCAGCCTTTTTATGGCCGAGCATATTCCACCGTGTATTTGCACCACAGCATTTTGATCCACTCACTCGTCTGTTGATTTAGGCCGCTTCCCTCAGCGATGCTGCAATGAGCGTGGGGGTACATATGTTCGTTCAGTCACTGCTTTCCAAAAGCAAACATTTGATCAGCTCCCGCAGTTTGCTCTGTACTGGGCTAGGTGTTGGGGACCTGAAGATGAACTGATCACCTTTCCTGGGGCTAAGAGGTAGGAGTCGAGTGGAAAGGACAGACTCGCGAAGGCAGCGCCGTGTGGGACGCCCGCCGGGAGGTGCAGCGCATGCGGATGGTGGGCCCAGCTGGCGCCCTGTTGAGATGAACCTGGAAGGAGCCCGGGTCCCCTCCTGGCCTGACGGGGGACGTGGGGTCAGGGACGGCAGAGCAGGAGTCCCAGGCCCGCCCAGAGGCAGCTGTGATGCCTGCCTTCCCTTCCCTGAGCCTTAGCTTCCCCGCCTGCCAGTCGTGGGAAAAACAGTTCCGAGCAGACTGTGTGCAAGGGTTGGATAGGCTGGCGCGGGTGCGGCGGGTGGCTGGGGCGAGGCTGCCGTGCAGGCCTGCCCGGATGGAGGCGACAGATGTCACCCGCCGCCACTCACGCGAGCTCGCTCGCTTGCCTTCCAGGCTGAGGGACGTGGCGGGGGCCCCCGTGATCAGCAGCCGGACGCTGGGCTTACACCTCCACCCCCGCAGAGGCCTGCACCACCAGGTCCCCATCATGTTCGACTATTTCCACCTGTCAGTGATCTCAGTGACCGTCCACGCCGCGCTGGTGGCTCTGCAGCAGCCCCTGATCAGGTATGATGTCTGAGCCCCGAGGCACGAGCGGGCCCCTTCCGGTTCCGCCTCTTTGGAGGGTATGTGGCAGGCAGCCGTCAGTCTCCGTATCTGTGAGTCGGTTTCTGTTTTGTTTGTTCATTTATGTTGTGATCAGTGGAGGGGGCCAACGCGGATCGGCGCAGGCCAGAGCAGCCTCTCCCCGGCTGAGGGTCTGGCTCTGAGCCTCACCGAGGGGCAGGGGACAGGTGGACGGGGGAGCTGAGGGCCTCAGGAGCCAAGAAGACACAGACAAGGAGCCTAAGACTGCAACCTGCACAGGGCCGATCGGCCCTGGAGACTTGGATCCTGCATCTGGCTTGGCTTTTTTTTTGCTGTGCCTCATTTGAGAAGTCACCTAATGCCCAGAGACAGCCACCTTCCTCTCTAAGACAGAAATGCTAATGGGTCCTGTCCTCTTAAGGTTTTAGTAGCCAGTGGGGGTACGGCTCGGGTCCCTCCCCGCCCGACCTGAGAGAGGTATTCGCCGTTAGAGCACAGCTCCTCCAGGGATGCGCTAAAAATAGAGCCGTCTTCTGCTCCCTATTTTTTGCAGGAAGCATCTCTGTGCATTAGCTCACCGTGGCTGGAAACAAAGGGAAGCCTGGAAAGCTATGGGAAATACCTGTCAAATAGGGCAAGCTCTAGTTTTTCTAGCCAAGCCATTTTCGGGGCATCAGCGAAACCCAGCCAGAGGGAAGCAGGTGTGAAAGGAAAACTTAACCTCAGGAGACCCTTACCTCCCCTGAAACAGGCTGAAGAGAAGAATCCAATTGTTAACGCTCCCGGCTGCAATTGGATTTCAGTTGAGGGATTCGGAGCCACTGGAAAAGCTGCCTAAGACCATGCTTTGGTCAAGTAATGAGTCGTTTTAGTTATTAATTTGCAGCCTGTCTCCCGAATGTGCCACGTGCATCACTACTCAGATATATTCTATATTGCTTCTGGAATGTTCCTTCTAGTAAAGCGGGGCACTTGCTTCAAATCTCAGTTAGAAACAAATCAGACTGGTGATGATGTTAGGCTTGATTTAGTTTGTGGTATTGTCAACAATAGCTATATAAATATAATATTGATTATGTTAGATTTTATTACGTTGGTGGGAGTTTGGCAGTAAGTACCAGTATTTATTGAGTCATTGCTCTTTGGCAGATACAGGACCGACAGCTGTGCTTGTCTGGCTTCATGAAACTCTCGCAGCCACCCCCCCCCACCCCCAGAGACAGGCACCGGGACACCTGCAAACTATTCCCACGCCCCAGAGCTGACCGGGGCCACTCCTGGGCCCAGCCCTGGCCGACGGGGCTCTCTGGCTGCCCCTTAATCGGCCGGCCATGTTCTCCTTGAGTGACACCTCTCACTAGCCATCCTGTTCACCCGGTTTGGCTCAGGAGCTGTTCTGTGCTCACGGGCCTGAGTTCCCCTCCCTCACATTACAGCTGCCTCTCTAGACCGAAGGGCGTTGATGGTGAAGGCCATGCCTGCAGCGTCTTGCCACCTCGACACCTACTCACTGCCTGGCATGTGGCGTGGGCCTCCTGAGTGTTTGAATAAAGGAATTCAGCAGAAATAGAATGGATTAAAAACGTTCCACAAGTATTTTCTGGGCACCTGCGCTGGAGATGCTGCCATCTGAGGCTGTTGCTTCTCAAGGACTCTTTGCCCTTAGAGACTTGGAATCTCCCTGGGGGAATAAGGCATGTCTATCACATAGTATTTACAATATAAGGCAATAACCATTAGGATATTTAATAGGAGAGATCAGAAAGAAAGAGGAAATGAGTACAAGCAGACTTGGTCAATGTGTCAATAGAGAATCAGAAAGGTAAACGGGGTGCCCTCACACCCAAGTGACATAAATTCAGGTCATCGTACCAGCATCCCGAACCTCCTCCGGTCCTGCTTCTGATGGCCGCTGTCACGCCGGGTCAGCTGATCCTGGTGGTGACTAGTGTGACTGGGCAGGGCCTGGGTACTGGCCTGTGGGACAGATTGCCGTGCCTCCAGCCCCCGTGGACACTGCAGATGTCAGTCTCTGACGTCCAGGGTCTGACTAGAACTACCCCTTCTGGGGGGCTTCTCTTGTAGGCGCCCCACCCACCCCAAGGGGGCTGACGTGGTGGTATCGTCACTTTCTCTACATTCTTCTTCTCCCTCTTCCATTCTCTCCTCTTCAGTTTTACCCGTCCGGGAAGAGGCTCCTGGCTCGGTAAGGGCGGCCCAGACACGGGACCGGAACAGTCTAGCCTTTCTCTGGAAAACCTGGTCTTCGGAGCCGGATACTGCAAGCCGACGTCCTCCGAGGTAACGCCAGCAGGGGAGGGGGCAGCGGTGCCAAGGCCAGCGAGCCCCGCTTTGCGGGCTGTGTGGGTTCTGCAAGATTCCAACTCCATGCAACGCCCCACTCACGGGTTCTTCGCTTTGTGTGTCCCTCCCTGCCATCGACCCATCCATCCCTTCTTTTAATCGCTGCTGCATTCCTCTGCCCTACTCCAAAGGCCAGACCGCAGGGATAACACAGGGAGAGGGTCTTCCTGTGGCAGCCCTTTCACGTGGCCCCTTGAAGGATATGGTTCTCTGGGGGTTGCGGGTGGGGCTTCCCCCTGACCTTGTGGTCACCTCCAAAGCTGGTTGGACCTGAGCTGGCTTCAAAACCTGGCTCCGTGTCTCATTCGCTCACTTCTCTGAGCCTCAGTTTCCCCGCCTGTAGAGTGGGCTTGGTAATAGTAACCTCTCGGGGTTGTGCGTGTATCCAGGGCTGTTGTGAATGTACAGTCCCGCTCCAGGGTTTGGAACTCAGTAGGTGCTCAGTAATTGCACATCCTGTCCTCTCCCTTGTTCCTTCTTCCACAGAAACCCCCATGGTTAGTCTCCTGTGATGCACGGGGCACTGGCCACATGCAGAGCCACTCTGTCCATATTGGCCCCGAGCCAGTTGGATTATTTTCCTTAGGGTCCTGTTCAGGGATAACTAGCTTGCACCAGTGTGGGTTTTCCCAAGAAGCAGACCAATAACATACAGGTAAATAGATGATTGATAGAGAGGTAGTTAGGGAATATATATGTAAGCTATACATATATCGAATATATGATAGGAGCAGACTTGAGACCAAACAGAGCTGTTCTGAAAGTAGCCTCCAGAGACTCGTAGGTGCAGGACCTCGGGCAACCACCAAGCCACCAGCAACCAGTGTCCGCGGCGTGGGCATGGCACCAGGCAGACAGTAACGGGTGCAGGGAGCCCACCGGCGCGGCTGGGCTTGTCTGCCACCTCACGCGCACGGCTGGCTTGCGGGCCGCAGTGAGAAGGCAGGGACTTCCTGCTCCTCCTGCTTTCCCGAGCCAAGCACAGACCCTTCGTCACAAGGGGAGGCCTGTGCGTCCCCTAGGTCGGTCTGCCCCCCGGCTGCAGCCCACCCCTGCTCCAGACCCCTGTAGTAGCCGGATGCCGCTGCTGTGCCCGCATCACAGCCCCGCCTCCCTCCACCGCCCAGCCCAGGCCTGCCGCTCCACCCCCACACCCGCTGGCCCCCGAGCCTCCCCTCGATCCACTCCCTGAAAATCTCCGGCTCAGACTTGGCTTTCCAGGTAATAGTGCCTAGAACATTCGGCAATGTCAAAGGTCGTGGAGCAATCGAAAGCATGTTTGACACATATCCCAAGACAAGGGCCTTTGCTGGGGCCCCAGGAATGTATGCAGATGACGATGTGGCATCTGCCCCAAAGGAATGCAGACGCACAGCTCCCTGCACATCTCCTAGGGGCTTGTCCATGTCACACCACCTCTATGAAGCCCTCTCTGATTTCCTTAGCCCAAGGTCTCTCTCCAGACACTTCCTCCTCCACAGCCAGCTCTAGGCCGTCTCTGTCCCTGCCGCGCTAGGCTTCAAGTAGCTGGGGACAGAGGTCGTCTGGCTCAGCTCCACATCCCTGGGGCTAAGCGCTGTGCCGGGCACCCACATGCTGTGCCCTAGACGTGGGCGTGGGACTAATGACCGACGACACTGTGTGAGTTGTGCTCACATAGAAGGCTGGGTGGTGATGGCGCTGAGCCGCAGTCATTCTGTTCTGTCCCTGCAGACAGACAGAGATGGAGGGACGGGACAGGGATCTCCAGTGACGTGCCACCGGGGGCTCCCTTGGAGACTCTTCAGAGCCCCCAGACCTAGTGGGGGTTGGTGGGTGAGAGACTCCTGTATCTCACCTAAGGAGGCTGAGCAGGACCCAGCCACATCTGTACCTCTGAGGCTGTTGTCATGGCGCAGAGAGAAGGTTCTGGCCTCAGATTCCTGCTGTGCTAAACACTGTGTGACTTGGGGGGACTCCTTCACCCTTGTCGAAACTTAGGCTCCTCAACTCTAAAATGGGATAACGCCTGTATTTTAGAGAGGATCTCAGGAGTTAACATGTGTAAAAACCGTCCAGAAATAGACTCCTAGCAGGCATGTGATACAATATCGTTTTTATTAAATAATTTTTTTTCTTGGCTATTTTTGGGGACATGTGTCAAAGAAGCCATCCTTGTCTTTTACCGGAGTTGGGTGAAGTAGCTTATTTGTGGGGGCTCAGCTGTGAACTTGCTCTCAGGGCTCAGCTCAATGGCGTCTCTTTCAGGACGCGATTCTCCTTCGCGCATCACCCCTCTGGACCCCCTCCCATCCTGGGGGCTCAGTGCCACGCCCACCCCCGCCTGCCCAGCGGGCAAGGGCCGCCAGGCAGAGAACACAGCACCCCCTCCCCCGCCGCACCACCCCCACCGGCTCTGACAGCTGTGCCTCTCAGTCCCCAAGAAGCCTGAGCATTAGCGAATCCCTGGAACCCGCTGGAACCCGCTGGAATCCGCTGGAATCTGCACAGACGGCAGCCTCAGCTGGGGGACTGGAGAGCGGGCGTTCCCTTCAAAAGAAGGCTCCCTGTGCGGAGGCATTTACAGAAACGTGCGTTTACAGCATGAGCTGACCGGCAAGACAAATCTCAAATCCCAGGGGGGCGAGGGTCGCCGTGGGGGGCTGCGTCCCTTCGTCATGAGCCCCTCTCGCCCTGGAGCCCCTTCCCCAGAGCCGCTGAGGACTGCGCCTCTCAGCCTTACTCCCCCTGGCTCCCAGGGGAATTATTCTTTCTGACTCGTGGCGTATCTGTCAAAAGAGATACTAATGCCTGCCTGGCGGGGTGGCTGAGATTAAACGAATAAGCTCATAAAAGCCTGGAGCTTAGAGCCGGGCATAAAAGTGCTCCATAAAACCCTCTGCTAGTATTATATTTCTTTTTGTTTATCCACACAATTAAATCTAATGTCGCTCCAAGAGCCCCAGTGTGGCCTTGTGGGCCGGGCGCCCAATGAAAGGACGCGGACGTGGTTCCGTCCCTGGCTCTCGGCACCAGCCCACTGTGTGACTCTGCGTCTGACGCTTGCCCTCTCTGGGCATCAGTTTCCCATCGTGCGGAAAGAGGGTCAGCCGAGGTCGTCCTGGAGGCCTCTCTACCGTTGGTACTGTGATGTCTCTGGCACCTGCTTGCTGAGTTAGTCCAGGTTCCCCAGAGAATCAGGATCCGTGGCCTGCATGTGTCCACGTGCACACAAACCTCAGAGGGAGCAGGATTTGCTTATTTTAAGGAATCGCCTCCTGTGATGGGGAGGCGGGGCCGGTCCCAAAATCCGCAGGTAAAGCAGCAGACTGGAGACCTAAGGAAGAGGCGCAGTGTGGGTCCACAGGCAGCGGCTGCCTAAACGATCAACTTTCTTCCAATTGTTTCTCTGGGGAGGCGTGGGGGATGGTCAGTCTTTTTCTCTGGGGGCCTTCAGCCAATTGGATGAGACCCACCCATATTATGAGATCCACTTTACTCAAAGTGTACTAATTTAAATGTTAATCTCAGCTAAAATAAACCTCTGCAGCAATGTCTAGAAAAATGCTTGACCGAATACGTCTGGGTACGGTGGCCTGGCCGAACGGATGCAGGGATTGACTCTCACGGGTAACACATGCTCAGGGTCTGGCAGACCCTCACCCAAGGTCAGGAATCCAATGACTGAACGTCAGCGGAATCCCTTCACCTTGCAGGGGGCTGCACACACTCCCTTTTTCTCCCTGAAATAAGTGGGGTGTCTCCCCTGCCTGGAGGAGGGGTGGCAACGTGGCGCTGAGATGCAGATTTAGAGCCGCCTGGGTTCCGCGCGCTGCCTCCCGGGCCGCGGCGCCCACGGGCCGTTCCGGCGTTCGCTCAGCCCCTGCTGCGTGCTGGCGTCTGTGTTCCGCAGGGTCTCAGGCGATCCGTAAAACCCAGTGTCTACCCTCAGCGGGTCACGTGACCGAGTGCCTGTCGCAAGGAGTGACGGAAATTTAAACATCTTCTATAGTGTGAAAAAGCGTGATGCTGACCATTTCAAATCCCCTTTTCGAACGCCCGACCTGTCCTCAGGTGCTGTGACACCCAGGGACTTAGTCACCCCACGTTTCCTTTTGCAGACGGAGAAACCGACTTAAGAAGGGGTTCGGTTAGGTCTCCGCGATCGCGCGGCGGGGCAGCGGCCAGGCTGGGATTTGAACGTCGCCATCCTGTGATGCTTTCTCCCCACCCTGGCCATTAACCACGAGGCTGACCGTTAACCACAGCAGGGACACCGGCTCTTCTGCTCTGCCAGGCCGGGGCGCGGCGCCGACGGCTCACCCGCGCGTGCCCGGCGCGGGACACACCCTCAGGAAATCTTTGTTGAACGAACAAGTGTCAGAAACCAGGGCCCCGAGCACCCCCAAAAGCAGGAGAACGAGGGCCCTGGCAGGTTGACTGGGGGGGTTAACTTTCCCAGCGGGTCTGTTCCCGGCCATACTCTGAGCCTCCCTGGCGCTCCGCCGGCCTGTGGCGCTTGCAGCAGCCGAGCCGGCGGCGTGCATGGCCAGGGCAGGTGACCTGTCGGGGAGGAGCATGCCGGCCACCGAAGTGAAACCCCTCTGTCCTCTGCTTGGCCTGGAAGAGGGTGTCTCGGACGCAGGAGCGGGTGCCGGGGAGACATGACCGTGCAGGTTGCTGGCTGGAGCGTCTCCCTCGTAAGTCGGGCTGCTGGGAACCGAGCGCAGAATCTTCCTCGAAAGCACTGATGCTCACAGGACGCACTTCCGCGGGGCATTCGGCCTCAGAGAGCCTTCCGCGCGGAGCCTCGGACCGTGACAGCCCCTCTTGCTGACGGGAGGCGTGGCTCTGGCAGGGCCAGGTGGGAAACCGAGGCACAGAGCTGACTTCTGGGCAGAAGCCTCCCGTCTCCCAGACGCGCCCTTCTTTTCACTCTGCGCTGTATTCTTACTGGG